ATGCAGGTTCGGGTCCAGTTGTAATACTGTTTTTTGGAAAATATGTCCTACAATGTTTGGAAAAAATACACCTACGTGTGTGTAAACTGGATCTAGTGGTTCTTATCCATACACACAAATATGTGTGTTTGTGCATATTTATTTATTTATTTATTTATTATCTATTAATTTAATTATTTATTTACTTAATTTAGTCATTTATATTTTCAGATGTGGAATATACATCACTTATATATTCTTTTATATTTTTCAGATGCGAAAGAAGTAAAAGAATGTAAAAATCAAAACATTAACAAGAAACATTCATTGATACCTCTATTGAACAGAATTTCTTTTGTTTTACTCCGTAATATTTTTTTAAATATGCGACACCGCATTATAAAATTGTCACGCAAATTATATAATCCCAAAACTCAACATTAGGAGTACAATCCTTTTATTACCAAAATAAGACTGATATATATCTCTTCTTTTCATTCTACCCTCTTCCTATAATTTCCAATAGTTTTATTTTACAGTACGAGTATTAGCCCTAAATAGGAGTAAAATAAGCCCAAATTTTAACATGAGGAGTAGAATCATTTTATTACCAAAATAGGACTAATATATATCTCTTCTTCCCATTCTACCCCATTCCTATAATTTCCAATAGATTTATTTTATTAATAAGAAAATCATAGTTTTATTTATAAAAAATATAAAAAATAATAAAATATTTATAAAATAATAATGAAAACGTGAAAAAATAAAATAAAAAATAAAAATTTAAAAATAATAAATAAATTATTTAATTTTTTTTTAAAAAGTCCAAAAAATTAAATAAAATACCTAAAAAATATTTTAAAAAAAATGTATGTCACTGCCAACGCACCCTCTACCTCCCAGCACCACCGACTCCGGTCGCCAAAAAAAAATGTCATCTTGTGTAAAAAATGCCACATTTCTCTGAAAATGCCATAAAGATAACATTTTTACTCTTTGAAAATATCCAGCTTTCTCTTGCTTTCTCTTCAAAATTGCCATCATGATGACATTTTTCCCCAACTTGGCAATCTTTTCCGGCGACCGGAGGTGGCGGTGCTGGAAGGTGGCTGAGGTGGTGGTTGAGGTCTATATATTTTTTAATTATTTTTTACGATTTATTTTTATTTTTATTTTTATATTTTATAATGATTGTTTAAAAATCCTATTATCAAGGACAAAGGAAAGGGTAGAATAGGAAGAGTTAGTCCTATTTGGGGAATTTAAACTTTAAACTCCTATGATTGCAATTATCCTTTCATTTACTCCTATTTAGGTAAATATCCCATTAAAGTATCTACATACATTGATTGTGTTAATAGAAGTGCAACAAATTAAACCACTCCCCTTGTGACTTTATTTTAAAAAGCTTGCAACGTGTTAACATAGGACTAATTTCCCGAACAAATTATGTGTTTTTTTGAGAACAAATTATGCTTTTAAAAAATGTACTAGCAATAAATTGTGCGCGTGGAAGTTAACAACAAAACACTATTTATTAATGAAAAACATACAGTATAAGATTGTATTGGTTGTTTAAAAAAAATGAGAAAAAATTGAAAATAATAATCCACGCTGATCCGCAGTTAATAATCTAATTATCAATTATTTTTGGGTGGTCCCAACAACAGAGACCATTATCCAAACATAATCTCTAATCATTTAAAGTTGACCTCCTATACCAGGTTATAACCGATTAGACTCTTTTTGGAAAATGATCCATATAGTTGGGATCACCCAATAAAAATCGATAATTGGAATTATTAATGATGAACCGAAAATAGTTGGGATTACTCAATGACCGGCAAGTAATTAACTGCCCTGATGCAGTAAGCATGTATAGTAAATTCAATCGTCTTTCAAGTGATTGTAACACGTGGTAGAAAACTTTCCAGTAGGGGTGACAAAAACCGAACCGAAACCCGGAAACCGACCCTAGCCCGGCCCGAATGATATTTCCGGTCCGGGTTTTTCTATTTAATCGGCCCGAATAAAAAAAATCGGGCCGAACCCGAAAATTCGGGCTCATAAGCGGGCCGATTATACAACCGAAGGCACCTCCCTCGACAGAATCTCTCGTCCACATGCGCTGGATCAACGTACCAAGTACAAACGTCACATCCAACTACCGCATTTAATGCGGCCACAAGGATTGCCAGTGTCACCACGTTGAGGTGACCCCTTGACTACCAGAATGATGACACGTGTCCCTATCTAGCATTTATTGCTGCTATAAATATAACACCTCTTTCCCCATTTGTAAACCACACTCAATACGCTAAATACTCTCATTATCAATATACACTCTCTCTCTACTTTTGCTCTGACTTCTCTCTGGTTACTCCCCGCAGTAACCCCTCGGATAGATACCCCCGGGTATACTTATCCATCATCTATAACCTGGCCCGGACCGATAAAAACCCGAAACAATTAGCTTTAATATAAAATTAATATATTATACAAATAGAATATATAAATAATTCCTAATGTATGATTATAATCACAGTGGATGAAAACGTGACCCGGTGACTAAAAATATGTTTAATTTGTTTACCATAATGACCATGGAAATATATTTATTATAGTATTTAGTCACTTTTTTATCCATAAGTTTTATTCCGTAATATTTTTAGAAAAAATCTATATTATTTATTTATATGCATCTTAAACAAAATATTAAGATAATTACCTTCTTTGGATTTGAATTGTTGGTGATTTTGGAGACTAATATTTGTGTTATTATTTGCGACTTGTGTTTTCTATTAGATTTATTTAAAAATGGGTTTTAAAATATAAAAAGACAATGATATGATTTCACATTCGGGCTTTAACCGACCCAACCCGAACCCGGTCATAAAAAACCTGACTCGGACCGAATACAATGAGCTTTGTTCCGTTCCTTAATTTTCATAACCCGAGATCTTCCGGGTAATTTCCGGGTTTAGCAAAAACCCGATCCAGACCGGACCGATCCCACCCCTACTTTCCAGGAGTCGCTTTTTCCCGCCTCGAAATTGTGTCACATACTTGAAAACTTAAAGCTCTAATTTCGGAATCATTTCCCAAACTAAAAAAATGAGTCTTTTTCGTTAAATAATGAAAAAATTGAAAATAATAATCTCAACTATTGTCGATCCACCCTTAATAATATCAACTATCGATTATTTTTGGGTGGCCCCAACTATAGGGACCATTTTCCAAAAATAATCCCTAACCTATTTAAACCTAGTATAGCGGGTCATTTTTAAATGTGAACTATGTGTCAGCTTTAAATAATCTCAACTATAGTTACCTTTTTTATTAATCTCGACTATCAACTCTCAATTTTCGAAAGATATAGAAATAATTTTATAAATTTCCAAACTAAATATTTTTAGACATGAAAAATTAATTACAAATATTCTACAATTGTACCGAAATTAAATACAAAAAATTGCCATTTTTCGATTTATTTACACTAAGTTTTATTTTTTCCTTTTTCCCTTTTTTTCCTTGTTGTGTTACCAATTTATGATTTTGTATTATTTTCATTTATTCAAATTTAAATTTTCTATTTTCAAAGAGTAAATTGTGATTAAAATTTTTACAATTTAGATCTTTATTCTAGCTTAATTAATCTAAAAATCTAAATTTTCTATTTATTCCATTTTAGTATTTTTAATTTCTACCAATGTAAAAATGTGATCGAATATCTTGAAATGACTAGAAAAATGTTTACCAAAATGTGTACCAAAAGTCCACACTTTTTCTACCAAAATAGTTGGGATTATTATTACCATTGTGATACACTTTTTATTATTATTACCATACACTTTTTCTACATTTTTAGAATTTCCATTATTATATCACTTAAAATTATAATATTAATATATTTTCATTAAAAATATTCTAAACTTCCAAAACCTATACCCCAAATCCCTTAAATTAAATGATAAACTAGAAAGAAAGTAAAGAAAACAGAAAATTTAGAAATAATAGAAAACAATGAAACTAGAAATACTAAAATGGAAAAATAGAAAATTTAGGTTTTTAGAATTAAGATAGCATAAAAATAAATAAAATCTTAATCATTATTTACTTTTTGAAAACAGAAAATGAAAATTTGAATAAAGGAAAATGATACAAAATCATGAATTGATAACACAACTGGGGAAAACAAATCCAAAAAATGGAAAAAATAGTGAAAATAAATTGAAAAATTAACAAAAAATTTTCTTTAACTTCGGTACATTGGATAACTTTTGTAGTTGTTTATACATGTTTAAAACTATTTAGTTTGGAAATTTATAAAAATATTTGTACATCTTCCACAAATTGAGATTTGATAGTTGGGATTAATAAAATAAGGTCAACTATAATTGGGATTATTTAAAGTTTACACATAGTTCACATTTAAAAATAACCTGCTATACCAGATTGTAACAAGTTAGGGACTGTTTTAGAAAAATAGTCCATATAGTTGGAACCACCCAGGAATAATTAGGCATGGACCCGTCCCATTACTGTACGGGCCCGGACCGGACCCGGATGGCCGGTTCCGGGCTTTAGCCCGGGTTGGGCGGGTCTGGCAGGCCCCCATTTTGTTGAAGCGGACCGGCCGATTCATGCCAGTTCCGGGCCTTTTTTTCAATTTTTTTTCTTTTTCTAGGGTAAGGTTGGGTGTTTTAGGGAGGTTTGGGGGTGGGGTGAGGGGGGAGGGTCGGGGGATAACAAGAAAGCCAAAGAAAAAAATTTAAACATTGAACAGAGCCCGGACCTGATATCAACCCGGGCTGATTCCGAGCCCAAGTAAATGGAAAAAAGCTCACCCGGGCCTGAAACCGGAACCGGACCAGCCCGGGTCCATCCCTAAGAATAATCGATAGTTGAGATTATAAACGGCGGACTGATAATAGTTAGGATTATTATTTTCAATTTTTCCGTAAATAATTAGCATTTTGGAAACTTTGACAGAAAACAGTGTATTTGAAACTTCTAGTGAACTTTATTGCTAGAAAGCATTCCATTTTTTGTTTAATTAGGTATACTCATAGGTAATACTTTCTTAATTTGAACATGTGGACTACTGTATGAAAAAATGTAGGCGGCCTACAGTAGGCCATTTGCACAATGCACAGCACACCTTTACGGTTTCTTTCCCAAAATTCTCTAATTTTTTTTTAAATTACACGCTTATATTATTTCTCGAAATATAAAAATTTGGAGGAATTAAACAAAAAAACAATTATTTGTTAGTACAACATCAACTCAAAACTCCACTGCAGTTGTAGAAGAACATAATTGGTGCGCTAATTTGCTGCTGCTAGTCAACTGGGATCTCCACCTCCATCTTCAAGCCAGGATGGTCAAAAACCTGGGAGGAAAAAACAAACAAAATAAATTGGATGACACACAGAGAGAAAACAATGTTGATATAATTAAATCACATATTCAAGTTTGACTTGAACCTACTTTGAGTGCCCGTTTGATAGCACTGAAATTGGCTGAATCATCTGATTCTGCTGAAATTTATGAAGTTATGACTAAAGTGACTGCATTAATTAGTTGATTCTGCCGATTTATGAAAAAATTATACGTAGTATTTAAAATATTTTTTTTTGAAAAAAAAAATTATTTGAAAAAATAGCTAAAATCATCTACAGTAACTTCAGCCAATACAGCCATAAAAGTAACTTCAACCTTACTTTTTCTTATTATTACACAATTCAGCGCGCGAAATCAAAAATTACGTATTTGATGAAAAAGTTGGATGATAAGTCTGATAACCCGAAAAACAGGGTCACCAAACGGGCTCTCAGTCTGGCTCAAGTTAAGAATCGAGTTTGAACTCAAGTCACTCAAGCCCAGGCCTTATCAAGCCGAGCCGAGCTCATGAGCCACATGCAAGTGTGTATAGTATCCGCGGGAATGAAGTGACAATTATGACCCAATTTGTGACTAATAGTCATGTTTTTTAGCCAAAACAAACTGGCTCAACTCGTTTTTAAGAATCAAGTTTTGTCCATCTGAGTTTGATCTCAGCTCGTTTTATCAGATTAAACAAGACGGGCTCAGCGCAACTTGTCTTGACTATTTGCTATTTCAACAGCAACCTCAAAGGTCAGTCATTGCCTCGATCTCTTGCATAGGTTTACACACATGGCACAACTTCACGACAGTCAGATGGTCATTACCCCTGAACTGAGGGCAATGCATGCATCATTGTTTATTCAAAAGCAATACTTCCAAAACAATGTCTCAGTCTTTATCATAGCACAAAAATGTTGGGAGAACACAGGAAAAAAAAGGAAAGGGACAATCAGACATGGAAACCTTAATAAAGTCATTCATTTTCATTTTCATTTACCCCAGTGCCGCAAAGGCTCCCACCTACGGTGGGGTAAGGAGGGATCGGATGTACGCAGTCTTACCCCTGTACTAAAGCACAGAGAGACTGTTTTCGGATGACCCATAGTGAAAATCCCATCCAAAATTGCATGGACTGACTGATGCTTCATAACAAAGAAGCGTAGACAGTTTAGTGAGTCATTTTGCTTTATTCCATCATAATCTCAAACCAAAAAATAATGAATATTTGGCTCCATTGCAAATGATGGAAACAAACCTTAATAAAGTCATCCACAAGTAATAAGGAGTCCCTTGAATAACCAGCCTCAAGCAAAACTTGGCTCAAAACATCCTACAAAAGCACAGGAAAACAGAAATTGTCAAACTCCTGAGATTTTCAAAATAGCATATATTCTGCAGAAAGATATAGGCCGTGTAGTATTGCAAAACTCAGGTTGGGCTATTCTAATGACACTACGGAGCACAAATTTATACTTCAATTTTTATTTTTAATAACTACTACGTATTATATTATTCGTGAATATACAACAAAAACACATGGACTAACATTTAAGACTTATATAAGCAACCTAAAAATACAACCATTTTCATTTTTCATTTTCATTTACCCCAGTGCCGCAAAGGCTCCCACCTACGGTGGGGTAAGGGGGGGTCGGATGTACGCAGTCTTACCCCTGTACTAAAGCACAGAGAGACGGTTTACGGATGACCCATAGTGAAAATCGTGTCCAAAATTGCATGGACTGATTGTTGCTCCATAACAAAGAAGCGTAGACAGTTTAGTGAGCCATTTTGCTTTATTCCATCATAATCTCAAGCCAAAAAAATGAATCTTTGGCTCCATTGCAAACGATGGAAAAACCTAAAAATACAACCATTTGAAAAAAACAAAAAAAAAACAATTAATTAACAATATCAAGAATTAACATTATTAAAAAATCATATACTACAAACAGAGAGGGATATCTGTCTAGGCGCCGCAAGGCAAGCAGCTACAGCCAACTTGTGTCTGCCAATATCAGAACATTGAATTAAATGTTCTTTTCACAGTACATTGGCGGTTGCATCACCTCCTAAATAAGTAAAAAGTCCATGACACTTCCCATAAAATGTAAATAGCCAGCAATGGTCTAATAACTCTAATGTGCACCAACATGGAAAGAAATTTGGAAACTCAATGTAAGGGGCAAGACAAAATTTCATAAAGTAAATACAGAAAAAGAATTATGTGAACCTCTCTTTGCTTATCTGACATGTATGCGCCACTTAAATCCTGAAGTACCACAATCATGTCATTGAATGACACCTTCCCATTCCCATCAGAATCATATACCTTGAAGATAACTTTTGGAAAAAGAATTGTCAAGAGTTTTGAAGAACTAAAATATGAGAGGGAAATATGCTTAGCATGAAAAACGGCCTTTCAATAAAAAAAATCACGAGTTTAAATAATACACCAAATGTTGCTTTTGCAGCAACCATTTTGAAAATTGATCAATAATGGATAAATGGGACTTCTGGTGCTCTAATTTTATGGAAATGGTGCGTTGACAACCTCGATTGTTAGTGTCACCACTTTTAGTCCTTGAATTCTCACTAAAGTGGTCATGACAGTCCTTCATTAGAAGATAATGTTAATCAATAACAAAACTTCTTGAACCTCTAATTTGCAAGAATATTGCTATAATTGCACAAGATTGAAACCACAAACTAATAAGATCTACATTTTCAAAAGACTCAGTCCACAAATGTAGAAATAATACAATCATAAAAAAATATTGTATAGATAAATGACTTGATTTTAACTCCATTAGCCTTAAATGATGCTCCGTATAATAAAATACTCATTACTCACTCTTTTACATCTTACCTGTCTTAGTAATTACTAAGTCATCACACAGACTCCTCTTTCTATGGTTTACAATGTTTAAAATATTAGCAAACACACAAAGTATGTCACAAGTTCATAGAGAATTTGAGAGTAATTTGGGTAAATGACTCACGTTCAATTTTTTGCCTCATGCTTGCTTTGGCACTAAAGGCTGACAAAAAAGCTACTAAGTCCTTGAAGTTTAATCCATCTACCATCTTGAGCAATCTCTGGGACACAAAAAGATAGGATAACTAAGCAACACCGCAAAGGTATAGCATAGGCAACACCAAAGCATAAGCACAATATAAAGAGTGCTACTTTTGGACCCATTTAGTGAGGGTAGAATTTGGTTGAAACTGCTAGAGTTCCTGAATTAGTTGACATTTAGAATGAATTCAATATCCAATATTTGAAGATAAAAGTATGAGGTATCTTTTCCTTTCATCTCATCCAAAAAGTGAAAAGTGTCAGTTTTCTTTCAAGGGTCATTGGTTAACATCCGTAGCCCTTAGAGCAATTAATAAGGAACTAAAAAAGCAATGAGTTTTATTTCAAAATCATAAGAGTGTGTAGTTTTTACATTTTCCATTTTTAATTTCTCATATTATGCCCTACTGGTTAAGGTTAGCACTTGTTTTTCTTTTCTTTAGCACTTCCTTCTTCTCTTAGCCCAATTATATCAGGATGGTCAAATATGTTAGGGTTAGCTAACAGTTCTGGCTTATATACTGATAAATGGATAAATGTGTAAACCAATTATTCATTTCCATTCTCAAATTATAATCCAAAGTTTAGTAAAAAAAACAGATACAAATGATCCTTTAGAAAAAAACAAGTGATAATTGTAAAAAAAGTAGTGCACAAATTCTATGTTTTGGCATTAATGGTTGAAAATCGAAATCAGATAAATAAGCCTTCTACAAATAATCTTTTAACTACTCATTAGTATTTCAATTGTCTTTTTTGTTAATACTGCATTTTTTAGATAATTTAATAAATACATTATTTAGCAAATCAAGTTGATTTCGGCAACACACGAAATTTAACAAAAAAAGCAACCACCAACTAGAATTGTACTTTCATTTCAATATACAACCTGGGATAGGGGGTTCATTGCAAACTCGGGAACTGACAAAAACTCATCAGCAGATATGAACCCCTTCGCGCTCCTATCAAGTTGGCAGAACCTCTGGTATACTGACAATATTTCTAGCTGATTGACTAAATTTTCCGAGAAACAAGAAGTTCAGTAACAAACAAACAACAAATCAAACACATAGTGAGCACAAACGAGAAGAGTAGAAAATAAAAACAATTTGACCATTTCTTACAGAGATGATTACAGTGGTCTTGGACGTCTTCAATGTCATACTGGGTTAGCACTGAAGAGGCATTACCCATTTTCAAATATCACTGGGGAAAAAATCGACGATGTCCATAAAAACCTTTCCCATAAAAGAGTATAAATCTAAGATCATAAGAGACATTTATGAGCTTCAGATGACAATAATTTCTTTAACATACATGATATTCCAAGATTGATCTCCTTTCTCTCTCCCTTTTTCTTTTATCTTTTATCTTCTTTATCTTTCTGTTTTCTTATGTTATTTTTATCTTTTACCTTTCTTATGTTCTTTTATCTTTTTATCTTTTATCTTTTTTATGTTCTTATGTTGTTTTTATCTTATATTTATCTTTATCTTATCCATTTTATCTTACCTTATCTTTTTTCCCTTTCTTCTCTTTTGGCTCTGATATCATGGATCAATTCATGTTACCAGACTCCAAAATCTTTTGGGAATAACACTTGGATGTTGTTGTGTTGTACATGATATTCCAAGATGGTAGGTTGATGGTGTGATATGTAAAAGACCAACGCAAAATAAACTGTCAGACAGAAATTAATCTGCCCTCCTTATATAATAATTAATTAATGATGCTTGTAAGACTAAAAGCTAAGTTGTTAAAATCCAGGGCGGGTCCTGACATTTTATAGACCTCGACAGTAAATGTAAAGTGCTTTACTATTTATCATCAGAATTATAAAATAGTCATAAAAATTCTTTTGACTAATTTCTTAGATGCAAAATAATCTATTACAGATTTACAGTATCAACATCTATATTATCTAACATCTCCTCCTAGACTCATAAAACCGCCACGACATTTAACCTTTTTATGATATTAAAGACCTCAAGTAAGTCTTCAATAGGTTTAACTTTGAAAAACTCATCTCAATTGAAGCTTGTAACCAGAACGGTCAATTAAATTTGGTACACAATGGAGACATTCAGATAGCAATCTGCAATTTGACAAATAGAGAACTAATCACGTAATCCCTAAAGGCAGATTGGCTAAATGAGGGAATCAATATCAACATTTTCAGTTTAGATATATCAAGATATTAAATTATAAATTCTATAATTGAATCACGTGTGTGATAACCGATAATTCCATAAATAAATATTGTGTTAAAAAACTGAGTACAAGACTACAATTTTAGTATCTTAAATCGATTGTATTCAATTGTCGAAACATGAGTTCATAAGTGGTAAATAATAGGGTAATAGATGACAAAATTTAATCAAGTAATCAACATAACTGATAAATGATAACTAATCAATTGTTTAACATGTAAAAAAGAAACCGCACACTCAAATGTATCGTTGATTAAATGATTGATCAAGGCAATGACTTCTTCGCTCACTTCTGATGCAGCGAGCCAGCGATGCCTTAGGCTTCCCTTTGTTCCGACTTCCTAGTTCAGGTGCCACGATCCAGCGACGACGCTTGAGTTATCAAAATTTAGACTTCCAAGTCAGTTGGGATCTTCCGACTTCCATTAGGACTTTCAAAATTCTGTGTTCTAATTTGTGCCAATTGTGCGAACAGCAATTCTGTAAGTTATATATACATGTGTGTGAGTGTAATTGTATGTTTTCTAAACTTTTCATTATGTACTAAATTTTTAGTTAATTTTTTTTCACATACCTAGATCTATACGTGTTATACAATGTAAATAAGATGTAAGTACTCCATATAAGCTATGCACATCATGAAAGAAAGAAAGAAACGTTCTACAAATTAGTTTTTATGTGACAGAGACATGGCACATATAAACTAAATAGCCCCTTGTGTCATGGACAAGGGACTAAATAGCCTATTTACCGCTTCTCCTGCACATTTCCTGATTTGAAGTTTTGGCCCCCACCTTTTAAAGGGACAATTTTTGTCTCTAAAAAACGCGTCCCCAATTGTGCCGCACATACTTCACAGAATTGGGAATAAATGAAAGCAAAGACCAAATTGGTAAACACTAATATACACTAACTGTACTATAGCACTAATCTTGAGTTAAGAAAAAACACAATTTAGGTCATTCACATCAATGAAGCAATATCGATGGTGTTATGATTGTGATGCTAAAAGTATATAACCATTATAGCAGTATATAAACAATATTGTCAATAACCAATATCAACAAATTGAGAACTGAGAAGCTGTTCTTTTAGCCAAATGTTTAGCAAACGGTAATAGTCCATGTGATACTTTAGGTTTTTTCTGCCATTCATCTGATTTCAGCAGTCAGCACTAAGTAAGGACTATGACTCTTTTGTGCCAGGTTTCTCACTTTTTTCCTTTTCAATGTGTTCTTTTCAAGTTGTAACCTTCTGCTATTTGACATTTGATTCACTAAAAACATTGCAATCTTTTGAACTCTTGTATTTGCATCGGTATTTGTAGTATAACACTATTACTTTAGTTTGTTTGTAATAAATAATAAGATCTTATTCTCTTCTTTTTTAGTTTATTGGAGAAAAATATTTTGATTCTTATAAAAGTGTCAGGATATTATATTCAGATGTGAAAGAGACTTCTTTCCAAGGACTTAGTGTAGGGTGAATCTTCTAAAACTCTAAAACTGAAAAAGTTGAGTGCCAAAGCCCATTTGACCCCACTCGTTCGATACTGATCGTAAGTTCATGCAACTATCAAAGTTATGTGATTCCTAATGCAATAGTCAAGTAAGCTTATGCTAAGTTTAACATTCTGTGAAAAATACTCCGTATAAGTACTCATTGGCAACAAAAAAGCAGGAAAAACTTAAGTTAAAGTGTGAAACATTGTATGACGTAATAGCGAATTTATGAGAAATGCTGTGTTAGTTTTAGATATTATTAAATCCAACTATCCAAGAGACTATCCTAAGTATACACACAGCCATTGACTCAGGCATTTCATCGAACTGTTTATGAACGTTTGTAAAATGTGTGACTAAGTAAATTAGAGGTTATTTGAAGAAACGGATGCTGTTGAAGTAAATACATTTTAAGTCTACGAACATCAATTACAATACAACTTTTGGATTGCAAATAGTATAGACGCATAGTAGTATGAGTTTCAATTGCTAGCAGATGGAGTAACAAGGAAATTCATTCGAGATGAAGTAATCAATCGAAGATTAAGTTTCAATTGCAAGAATATGGAGCAATACAAAAGATATTAAAATGAGTACCTTGTTCGAGAAAGAGAACGGCAACAGATCGGAAGAGTACTTGCAACCGAACAATGCTGACAGGGAAAACTGTCTACCCTGTCTCTAGGTGATACCTTAAATAGATATTACTCGATAAGTTTTGAGAATTTCAAAATAGGATTATTATGTTTTGATTCCCAAAATAGGATTAATTACTGTCATATTTTGGTAGTACCAGACTTCAAACATGGCAGTATTTTCTAAACATGACACTAATTAGTCCTATTTTGGGAATAAAAAACATGACAGTCCTATTTTAGAATTATTAAACTTCTTTAGGGGGTGTTTGGCAATTAGTTGTTGCTTGTTGCCTGTTGCTGATTGTTTTAGCCGATTGAAGACAGCAGATTCTGTTGGCTGTTTTGATTAGCTGATAGAATTAGCTGTTTATAAAATAGTGTTTGGTTAAATGAGTGTTTACAATCAGCGGATAACTTGTTAAATGACTTTTAAGGACACTGATTATATATTTTCTTATTAATATAATTAGTATAACTAATTAAACCATTTTAATCCTTTCAAAAAAAAAAAAAATACTCTAACACAAATACTAATTATTTTCAACATCTTTTTTCATGAATTGATAGATTTAATTAGTGTGATGATATTTTGATTAATAAATGGAGTTATTATTAAAATCATACTCCCTCCGTTCCTAAATAAACTTCCAACTTTCCTTTTTCGTTCGTTCCAATTAAAACTTTCACTTTCCCTTTTTGGTAAAGAATTTGTGGTTCACAACATTTTTTACACATTTCTCTCTCCTCTGCACAACTCTCCACCACACAATATCCACTATCTTAAACTTTGTGCCAAATCAATGTGGAAGTTAAAATGGGAACGGAGGTAGTATCAAGAAACTAATGATATTAAGCATATGTATACATGTGTTAAGTAAAGAAATATGTATGAATGAAGCAGGATGAATTGAATCAAATGACTGCTCGCCGTTGTATTTCATTTCATTCCAAAAAATGCTTTGTATAAATTAGGAGCTACCAGTAATAGAAAGAAGCACTATGCGTGGGGGACAATTTTCAATTCTACCGATTTTCTCTAACGAGTAGACGGCTCGTACGAAAAAGAACGGGGGTAGCGCAGGTATAATCATAACAGTCGATCCTAAACGCTAGAGTGATTGGCGTTTCATATTTTAGCTACTGGAAATAAAAAGCCAAATGTAAAAGACATTTAACCAAACACCCTAATTAGCTGATTGATTGGTCAAAATGTTAAATGTTGGTCAAATCGGCCAAAAAGTGGCTGATAGGCTCCTAATCAAACACCCCCTTAGTCCTATTTCAGGAACTTTCCCTACCTTAAATCATTCACATTCCACTAAAAGTAACTCCGGTGAATGGTGTTGAATTTGTTAAATTAATGGAAAAATTATAATTAAAATATATTTTATTAATTTAATTAAGATTAAGTTATACGGAGTATGAAAAATAGATAAAATAATTATTTGTAACAACTTTAGTCATTCACTTAGAAAAGTAATTCTTAACTTTATTTATTTTGATGATTATTAAATTTCAACGTTTAAAATCAAAGGATAGGTGTTTAATAAAAAGTGTGTGGGTAAACTCTTAGTTTGAACCGTTTCCATACCCCGTATTTGATAGAGTAAATTTTATTATTTGTGCGCAATTCAAGTATTTTTCACTTGAAGAGAAAATACAATTTTTATCTCTCGACACTTTGTGACAATACACAAACATGGACATCGAATTAGGTCAAAGCAAATGCTACATGTGATAAGTGGTCATAAAACATCTTGTAATTATGATGATAAAACATCTTGTAATTATGTCATTGTTTATCGGTAAGTGAAATAATAGAGTAAAAGCAATTTGAATTAAATTTATGCAGATGAATAATAGGAAATTAGAAACAAACTAATTATTTGAAGGGAACATGCAAAAAAATAGACGACTAAAACAGAAAATATAGCAGAACAATAAAGGACAAGAGATTACATGGTGCATTTTGCGAGAAAGATAGTAAAGGTTTATGGAAGTCTTTAAGTGGTTGTTTGCAAATTTTCATCATTCAGTATATTCGTTTAATTATTTTTTACTAATTGCGTTAGCAAGATGCTTTCTCTATAAGAGTATAAGGAATCACTGTTTCATTGATTTCATTCCTTTCAATTGGCCGGGTCCGGGTCGGAACGTAGTGTTCCAGACCCGGACCCGCTAAGTTAATAATGGATCCGGACCCGACCCGTTTACCCGGTGGGTCTGGAAATTTGGACCCGGACTCAGATCCAACGGGTCTCGGAATCGGGTCGGGTAGACCCACCCGCCAAGTATGATACGCACACCATTATAAACTTTGTGAAAATAGCAAGACATGTATGTGAAATATACAGCAAAGTGTACAAATTTAAAAGCAAAATATATGTTCACATTTCAAAAAAAATCAAGGTCTCTCATAGAAAATTAGTACTTTTATCTAATAAAGTATCGGTTCTTGTACAAACATATAACTCCATACGTTGCGCCGCTTTCTCACGCACAAAAAAACTCGTAGAATAAACTAGAAATTAAGTCATAAAAAGGTCTCTTGGACTACTAAGAGTATAAAATCATATGTAGTATTATATATGATAATGATATAATAATATTAATAGTAATAAATATTAGTGTTAGGGTATCTTACTATCTTGATTAATATCACTTATATTCTCCGTAGTATTTATGTATTAATGTGTATATTTTTATTGAATCATCACAAATTCACAACTAATAACTTTATGTATTATTATGTATACATGTATATTAGTTTCTATTTTATTTAAAGTGTTATAACTAATCACTTTATGTTTGAGTGTATGTGTATACAAATAAGAAATTGTAAACGGGTCCGGGTCCTTAACGGATCAGAATCATATGTACCATACCCGACCCTTTTATTTAAAATGCTAACGGGTCCGGATCCGGGTCCGGTAAACGGAATAAAATATAGACCCGTACCCATTAAAAACAACCAGGTCCGGGTCGGAACCGGGTCTAGACCCGACCCATTGACAGGCCTACAGACTACAGTTTCAATGACAATTATTTGGATTTTTTTCTAATCGAAAAAACACATATTGTTATTTTTATTTTCTCAAATTCCATTATCCTCTCAAATCCCAATTCTTTTGTTATAATTGATTATTGTTTCGGATTTCACATTTTTCTTTAAATGTTAATCCTAAGTTATATGTTTTTTATTTTTCTTGATTTCGCACCTCCTTCCTAATTCCTGAATTTATCTACACATTTCTTTGTGGTACATCCCAAAATTATCCTTCATCTCATCCAGGGATGGACCCGGGCCGGTTCGGTTCCGGATCCAGGCCGGGCCCGAGCGAGCTTTTTTTCAAATGGTTGGGCCCGGAACCGGTCCGGGTTGATACCGGGTCCGATCCTAACCGGGCCGGGCCCGGGTCAAGTTAATTTTTTTTTGCTTTCTAACTAACCCTCGACCCCCCCTCCCTTCACCCCCACCCCAAACACCCCCCCCCCCCCCCCTCAAAAAACCCAGCCCTAACCAAGAAAAACAAAAAAAAAATTGAAAAAACAAAAAAAGCCCGAGTCAGTTCAACAAATACTGGGCCCGAGCCCGACCCGCCCACCCCTCCCCAACCGGGTAAAAGCCCGGACCCGGTTAGCACCAATCAGGCCAGTCCGGGCCCACAAAGTGACAGGCCAGGCCGGTTCCAGACCAGGCCAAACCGGTTGGGTCCATCCCTAATCTCATCAAACAAGCTTATTACGTTACTTATACTATGTCTTTCTACTTTAAATAAATTTACTCTAAAACAAAACTCATTTGTTAGAATTCTTAGAAATGTCTAACAAATGAGTAAAAATACTTTGTAATATTTTATACTCCCTCGGGTCCTTATTAAACTTTACACTTTGACTTCACACATATTAAGGAAATAAATTTGACTTTACTGTAGAATACACTGTTTGGCACTATTTTGCACTGTTTGATGTAGATTTGTTTGCCAAATAAGGTAAATAAAGAAGTGTAAAGTTTAATATGGGACAACCTATGGATGGACTCGGGCCGGGTGGCCGGAACCGGCCCGGGACCGGTACTGTTCCGGCCCGACCCGACCCGGTGGCCCGGTCAGTGACCGGTCCGGGTAGGCCCGGCCCGTGGGTTTTCCGGTCCAGGCTCGGGTCACCCAAAACAAGGCCCGACCCGGCCGAGCCCGGGCCCGATTCGGGCCAAAAACTTCTTTTTTTTTTTCAATTTTTTTAAATTTTCGGGTTAGGCTGGGTATTTTGAGCCATTTGGGGTGGTTTGGGGGGTTGGGGGTGGGAGGGGGGTTAATTAGGAAGAGGAAAACAAAACAAAAATATAATGGGCCCGGCCCGGACCCGGTGGTTACCCAGGCCGGTCCCGGGTCCACCATTTCTGACACGCCGGCCCGCCCGGGCCTAGGCCCGACCCGGACCCGACCCGGACCCGAGTCCATCCATAGGACAACCCAAACAAGAAAGTGTAAAGTTAATTAAGGACCGGAGGGAGTATTGACTTTCCTTCCTTTATATTATTAACGCAGAGTAAAGAGGTCAAACCAAAGATAGGTGAAAGATCAAGGGTAAGTTGGGAATATGAATTTCTTTTACCTTATGAATATTTCCTTTGATGGAAGTGTAAACTTCAATATAAGACATTTCAAAAAGAAATTGGGGCTGTTTATTTTTTGACGCTTGATAGCCGAAACGCTAGAAATGTCAACGTTTGCTTTGTAAAAACATTGGCGTTTTTGGCCAACACACTGCTATGGAGCCATTGATAACTTAAATAGAGGACGGAGGAAAGTACTACATAATTCCCAATAATTATGAAAATATTGGTAAAATATTAGGGGATGCATAAAATATGGGATTATAAATGTATACTTTTTTCCAAATTCCCTATAAGATTGATTTCTCTGGGTATTAGTTTATTACTCATTACAGGAGAATCTAGAATGGCATGGAATTTATACACTAGCAGATATAAAAAATAAAAACTACTAGTGATTCCCAAACCAAACACGCTGCTTGGGTGTTCTCTTGAACCAAAATGACTGAACTTTCATCTCCTACGATCTGGACAAACATT